TCTGCCCGCCTCGTCCTCCCAGAGTGCTAGGATTACAGGCGTGAGCCACTGCGCCCGGCCTTAATACCCTTTTTTTTAATTGGTAAAATATACTCTTGCATATATATATTCTTTAAACTACAGGTATATTATACTGAGCACTAGTGTACCTTAAGAAACAGAACAAAACCAGTATCTTTGGAAGCCATCTCTACATACCTTTTTGCTCAACCAATTTTCTATGTATTTAAATAGTTTCATGTAGAAATGATCAAGACTGCCAACTGAAAAGTTTAAAAAAGTGAGAGTAAACTTGCCCTTTCAAATACTAAAACATTCTATAAAGCTACATAGTTAAGATGAGGGTTAAATATTGAAAAAAAAAGTATAAAAGTCACACATGGACCTAAAATAGATTGGTTACATTTAGTTTAGGTGAGTATAGTGGAAACAGCTTGTAAAAGAACCTGGCATTCTGGTCATGTGGGCATTTCATAGAAGAGTGGTCCCCAACTTTTGGGCACCAGGGACCAGTTTCATGGAAGACAATTTTTCCACAGACAGGGTGGTGGGGGTTGGAGGAGTCGGGGGGAGGCAGAGCTCAGGCGGTGATGCAAGTGATGGGGAGCCTGTAAATACAGATGAAGCTTCCCTCTCTCATCCACTGCTCACCTTCTACTATGTGGCCCTGTTTCCTAAGTTTCATGACTTAGGAATCTTTCATGACATCTTTCTACAGATGGAGGGGGCGTCCCCATGAGGGATCGGGGTGAGGGGACCAGAGTTCAAGTGGTGATGCAGGGTCCAATTCCTAACAGGCCATACACTGGGGTTGGGGACCACAGACATAGAAGAAAACAAACAACATACCCATTGAGTTTTAGTTCTGTGATGTAGCCTCACTTGGAATTTTGATTCTGCATCGATTTGGATTTAAAATGTCTCAAGTTCATTTCACCTACACTTTTTACCTTCTAAAAGTAAAGTCAGTGGTCCTGAAGCAGTGCTCACACCTATAACCCCAGTGCTTTGAGAGTCAAAGGCAGCTGAATACCTTGAGTCCAGGAGGAGTTCAAGACCAGCCTGGACAATACAGCAAGACTCATTTTCTACTGGGGAAAAAAAAAATCAGCTGGGCCTGGTGGGTGAGTGCTTGTAGCCCCAGCTACTCAGAAGGCTGAGGTTCAAGGATCCCCCTGGGAGACAGGATGACACCCTGCCTCTAGAAGAAAGATTAAAAAGAAAAATAAGTCAACTATTTTAATAAATTGTTTGTTAAAAAATAGTTAATAACCTATTGTAAATTCAGCTTTACATTAATTCCATTATCAGAAATGCTTATTTAAAACTGGAGTGATCAT